TGGAAGTTCTTAGCTATATCGAGATTAAGCATTGACTGATTGACTTGCGGGGTTTAACGTTCCAAAGCCACCATATGATTATGAGAGACGCCGTAGTGGAGGGCTCCGGAAATTTCGACCACCTTGGGTTCTTTACCGTGCACCGAAATCTGAGCACATGGGCCTACGACATTTCCTCCTCCATCGGAAATGCAGCCGCCGCAGCCGGAATTTGATCCCGCGATCTGCGGGTCAGCAGCCGAGTACCTTAGCCACTAGATCACCACGGCGGGGCCGAGATTAAGCATGATGTGGCTAGGTTGGGCTTGGTTATATATATCGAGGTTAAACTTGCACAGTGTGTGTGTGGGGGGGGGGGGCACGTACCGGTTTACGATGATAATTGTGTGACAGGCAGCACGATGGCACATACCCATCTGCTTACATTAGTTTTCTTCATACTGAGTGGACCAGTGGTGAGTTTGTCCGATTTATGCGGGCACATAGCCATTTGTAATGACAGTTTTTTTTTTAATAAGGGGGCGTACAAGGAACAACTAGCTAAGCAGTTCCGCTGTCTCAAAGACGCGAGTGGGCCACGACAGTTAGTTCTCCCGCGTGCCACGTTGACATATAGGCCAGCAATAGCGAGCTGCGTTTACTCAAATCCATGCCAGTGTTGTTGCGGACAGACACGGATATTGCGACACACAGCGCAACCAAATCAATTACAAATGAGAGCGCTAAATTACGTACGTGATTCACACGCACGCTGCAACCGTTTTTACACCAACCGGCAACAATCTTATCTCTTAATGTATTGCAAAACGAACCAGCCACGAAGGCATCATCTCCTAAACTTATATAGGCGCCATAGCTCGATAACTATGCTATAGAGCATAGGTCACACGGAATAAAGTACAGCGCCTTTGCTAAATGGTATTCGCATTATTTGCTCCCATATTGCGATTCATACCTTTTTTCTTTTTTTTCTGGTAAGCTGATGATACGAAACTCCACCATCTCTTTCGTGAGGTTCCCAATCGGTCTCGCTGTACGGATTGAAACATAACCGTGCAACAAAACCAATCTTTTTTTTTTTTCTTTCACAATCGGTGTTCAGAATGGCCGACCACTGGGCCAGTTGGTTCACTATCCACAGTCTTACACAGAAACTGCAGGGACTAGAGCAAGACACACACACATGCGGTCTGGCTGTCGTAGCTCTGTCCTGCGTGGTGGCGTAGCAGGGGGTGACACAAGCTAGTGTGCCCCCCCCCCCCCCCCAGAAATGTTTTTAGTCATGCATAGGCAGCGCAAAATGATAATTCATCTGCCCGGGCTCCACTTTATATCAAAGCGATGCCCCCCCCCCTCCCCTCAGAAAAATATTTCTGCACAGAACCCTGCCGTCCTGTCTGCGCAATTCAACACTGCGGCGCCCAGATTTTAGTTATTCCGGATATATGTATCGATACGTTTCTAGCTTCACTAATCCCCTTCACAAATGACCCATACACGAAGCATAGGAAAGACGTTGTTTCTAGTGACACCGCGAAGGTACATCTTGTTCGAACTCTCCCCTATACCAATGCGCGCTCCATCATCCTTCACTGTCGCGTGGACTCGATTTCGCACGTTCCAACATCCTCCTCTGTCCCGGACTCATTTCTTATCTGCAGTCCACTTAGAAGTGTGGCACAGCTTGGGCTAGTTGATATGGCATGACGATAGTTATAGCGCGAGAACAAAACCACGACACAGAGACAAGAAGGACGAGTCTTCGAGTCTTTCGTGTCCTTCTTGTCTCTGTGTCGTCGTTTTGTTCTCGCGCTATAACTATCGTCATGCAGTCCACTAAATGAGGTGAGTTTGAGGACGTAGTCATGTGAGGTCCTTCCGATCACGATCTAAAAACGTCACGTGTTAATGGAGTGTTATACCAGTCGTACGTCACTTCCAATAGCGAGTATAGCTATTATGAAAGTCGAGATCGAAATCACACCTAGTGACATCCACATTCGATCCTACGCGGATTACATTACAGGGTCAAAATATGCGTCTGCCTGTATTTTGGCCATACATTCACACGCTGCTGCCCCTTTCATAGGTGAACAAGCCAAATGGCGCAAATAACCTAACACACCCCATTTCGCAACTACTGTTAGATGCAAATAACAGTATCGCAGAAGTGTACTCACATTATTTTAATATGAAGCATACCATGAGAAAAGAAGTATTTATTTCGCGGGGACTGATTGATCAGTGGAAGCAAAAGTAAATACCAAAGCTTTTGTTTGTATTTCGCGCCAAACAACGATGATGGTCATTGTGATGCTACTGGCACCGAATGCATGGTTAGTGCTATTTAGAAGTTCTAAAAATGTGCTAGGTCAGTCACTTCAGGGATATTTTAGAATGCAGTCTTGTGCCGATACAAGTTCATTGTCCTTCGTTCTTTTGTTGTTGGTAATTCACCAACACAAAAAAGAAAGTTTGAGAAGACGACTCAACCAAGAGTGAAGACATTGTTCGCTAGCTTGCACTAGGCAACACTTAGCGATCCTAACAAGCAAAATTGGCAATAATTTAGTAAAATTAGTTAGAGCTAACCAGATGCGTGTAAGGTCATTGCCCCGGTCACTGAATACACTCTTTAGTGCATACTTCTAGACAGGCTGCAAACCACTTCACGTACTACCGACGTAATTAATGCTACACGCAACTGAGGCCCAAGAACCACGTGCGAGCTTGCACTAGGCAACATTTCGCGATTCTAACAAGCAAAATTAGCAATAATTTAGCAACATTAGTTAGAGCTAACCAGTTGCGTGAACAGACATTGCCCCGGTCATTGAATACGTTCTTTTTAGTGCGTACTTCTATACTCCGTTTCATACATCATGTGCAACGCTGACAAAGCTAGCGCTCTTGTTTGCGCTGTGCACTGCCGCGACCAAAAAGTGCAATTACTTCACGTACTACCAACTTAATTATTACTACACGCAACTGAGGCCCAAGGACCACGTGCGAGAACCAAAAATGGAGGGAAAATATCACCGTCCACCACAGCACGAGGCTCGCGCGGCAGTTTCTCGGCCTTTCTCCGTCTGCAAGTGCGCCGTCCATTTAAAAATAGTGTGGATCGGGCCGAGACGCTTGGAGCGTGTAATTGCCCACCTCTTAAAGAGACCAGTGTTCGCCCACTCGTCGCCGCCTTTTCCGTGCGCTGTGTACGGACGGGCTCCGAGAAAACGGGATCTGCACGCTGCGCATCAAAGCAGTCGCAAGACAATCGCGACCAACGCTGCGTTGATGGCGACGACGCGTCAAACTGAGTTTCCGGTCCCCTCGCCGAATTCCCACAGAATTGTGTGATCCGATCGAAACAAGCTGCTTGGAGTATTCTTCGCTTTCCCTCCTACGTTTAATCCCACAATCACTGACACAACGATTAAGACCGCATGAACCTGCGCTAGAAACTTTAGTCTCCTTGGCTAGTCGCCCGCGCTGGATTGGGTTCCGCATCTTTATCAGACACACAAGTGCTGCCCCAAAGTGGCGCAAATTCAGTTTCGAATGTTAAGAAAACGCGATTTATTAATGACGCTAGCACAATGTGTTTTCGAGATCGCATTTTAGGGTCCTCGTGAACAATCCCGATTTTTTTTTTTTCGGTAGTATAGCTAACATCCCAAATATTGTGAAAGCATGATGGGGGGCACAAACGAAACCATTTGAGCTCTCACAGGCAGGGAAGCCGTAAAGGAGCATAGGGAAGAGGCCGGCGTCTCAAAGACTGATCGATGCGAAGTATCGCGCTCTTGACTACCAAGCACTTTCACAAAGACGCGACATCCAACTAGCGAAAGTGCCAGAAAGCGAGACGATTCTTGGCAAGGCGACAACTTCCTTGTTTATAAAACTTTCGGTCCGACAGGAACGAGAAACGGAAGTGAAAGGGCGAGTCAATTTTCTTGGGGAAACGACGCGGCGTTGATTTCCAAATCCGCACTGTGAGCCCGATGAAAGGCTTCCGAAAGTCCAGCTAATGTCATCCGCTGGTAATAATGCCCACACAAACGACCCTAAAGAGAGGTCGTGTGTTGGCCAATGTGGCCTTCGACACTACCGGTTACATTATGCGTCAAATGTGACACCACTACGAAATATTTAATGCGTTAATCCATGACATTTAAATAAGCGCATCATATAGCAGTACGTGTGGAACATCGTCGGCTGTTTACAAACACAGGGTAACTGCTTCGTTTTGAAGTTTGCTCAGTTCACTTAACGTGACGGAAACGTGTATGACTCACGCCTACGCGAACGTTACCTAGGCACAGAGGGGCGAGCACCGTCCTTGCCGTGTGGAAAGGCAACGCACGTCGCACTCTTGACAGCACGCCTGCGATGCAAGGTATTGCGCTGGCCACTATCCCGAGCGTGCCGAATTGTCTACGAGGACTCGCTCTTTCGCGTTCCTTTTTGGACAGGACAAAGATGAGCGCGACTGCTTTTGATTAAGGCAAACAGGCCGCGCATCACAATGCCAGCATGCTCCCGTAATTTCGGTGAATTTCCGGCGGTTGCTAAGCGAGCACAATGGACCGCCTTGCTCGCGAAAGAGCGCGCTAGCAAGGCCGCTGGAGTCATACGCAGAAACGTATCGATTCAATCTAGCACATTCAGCCGAAATGCCCCGTGTTGTGCACTCCTGAACAATTAGGAACGGAGCTGATCAAGTACGCTACGTGCTATATATCATTTTAAAATGGCCATCGGCAGTCGCGACTCGGATGTCGAATGGGAACACGCATCTTGCTTTAAACCTCAGCGTGAGAATGCCAGCATCGACAGCACAAGAGAAAGACGCCCCGACAAAAAGCTCTAGCATCAAAAAGCCTAAAAGGCGAGAAAGCGAATGAAGCGAAGGGCTTGGGGACACGGGCAGAGGAGCGTGAGAGCGTTCTAGCCCTGACTCGGATATCCGAAACAGACATTGTCCGAACTCCACTTACCGCAATCAGCTGTTGTTGCATATAGTGCTATAATAAAAAACAGCAGTTCAGAACGCATCCTACTGTCATCTGGTTCCGTGTGTTGCACTCCGGCCCCGACAACAGAGGAAGGCCGTGTCAAAACAACGCACACAGACACTGCACTCACGCTCAGACACAAAAGTGAACTGTGGTTTGATACTTTGTTGTTTTTTGTCAAGATTTCCGAAGTTGCCCCGCGCTGCGCATGCGTGCGCGCGCTGCAAAGTTTTAATGGAGTCGAGAGTAAATTTTTGACGCACCCTCAACGCCAGCGGCGCTGCAGTCGACGTGCGCTTGGAAAATGGCGATCGAGATCGAGTCAGCGGAGTAAGTTTCTGATACATTCATCTGTTTTATCCATCGACGCTGTTGCGTGGAACGAAGAATGCCACGTTAATATTTGTTGCACTCAGTTGCATCTTTGCTGCTTGAAGGTTGAATAACCGTGCTTTCTCGACGTTATTCAATTTGAAATCTTCACTTCACGCGCGTACTTGACTGATCCAAAGATTTACTGCATCGTGTTTATTGTAGTTATGAACTGTTACACATAACGTAGAATGTTACTTTAATAGTTGCTTCACTCACCGTTCATTTTCCTGCGTCCAAAATGAAAAAATTGTCGCTTTCTATCGTTTTCTTACTTCACATCAACAAAACGCACGTAGAGAACACTTGTTCCAGTGATCTGAACATTTACATTGTGTTTATTCTCCGAGTTCAAATTTTACTACATTTCTGATCTTAGCTTTACAGCTCAGAAAGCTTGTTAGTGATTTTATTAGGCATTTGAACCGAGTGCTTAAGATGACTGTATCGAATTGAATTTTGTTGCAGCGTCGTTCGTCTCATACAGCAGTACCTGAAGGAGAGCAACCTCTTTCGGACCCTTCAAGTCTTACAGGTAACCGCCAGCTCACAAGCAGCGCCATTCTTATGTTACATAAGTGCTTCCTGCTAAGGAACATTGCTCTGTGCCATGTTACAGGAAGAGACGTCCATATCCCTGAATACAGTAGACAGTGTCGACAGCTTTGTCCAAGATATCCACAGTGGTCACTGGGACACCGTTCTCAAGGTTGTCCAATCGCTAAAGTTGCCGGACAAGAAGCTCATCGATTTATATGAGCAGGTATGTCTTTCTTTTATCTGATGCTTAACGTTGCGGGGAGGTCACATGGCGCCTTCAATTTGGCACGAAGTCTGCGTGCAGCGTAAATGTACCTCACTCATTTGAGCGCATTTTCTGTGTGCTTCTTTTCACATAATTTCCTGTAAGTGCCAATGGTCAATTTTTACTGACATTTTTGACGTGGTATTAGGCCAATAAAGTGTACAATGCGACCCGATCGTCATGCTTAATAAGCTGTTGGTTGCATACATGGAATGACATTTCTATTTTCTTGGTCATGTTATTTGATTGATTGATTGACTGCCCCTCTTTTCCTGGCACAACCCACCATGGGGGATCGGCCATGAAACGAGCGGTGCCTCGCTATATAAAAGCATCTGTTCATAATTTAAAAATGGTAGACAATAGGTAATTATGAAATCATTTGCTAGATTATGTTAGATTTGTTAGAAAAAGAAAAGAAAGATTAATGCCTTTAATAAATGAGCTTGATTAACAAATAAAAAAGGATAACCAATTTTTTGTAAACATGTTTTATTTCGATGAAGTTGCAGCTATATCTTGTTATTCTTCTTTCTTTTTTCTTCAGGTGGTGTTAGAGCTGATCGAGCTGCGTGAACTTGGCGCAGCTCGATCTCTCTTGAGGCAGACGGATCCCATGATCAAGTTGAAACAAGAAGAGCCAGAAAGATACATTCACCTGGAAAACCAGCTGGCACGCTCCTATTTCGACCCGCAAGAGGTAAACATGTTTGCAGCTTGCAGTCTGAGCAGCGAGTGTTGTTGCATATGCGCTAGAGTGATGCAACCGTCCAAATTTTTGTGTGCTACAGGCTAGCAGGTTGCCCCCATCTGCGTACATCATAAATATTCAACCATGGCTACATTACTGCTTGGTTGCACAAGATAAACTGGGGCATTTGGATGAGGTTGCTTTCACAAGTGTTGGTTACAGCTTGCAGAGTGTGTCTTGAGGTAACAGCTTTATCTTCTCTGCACATCATCACCGCTGCTCACAGGGTTGCATTTGAATGTGCAGGAGCCGCATCAGAGCGTGCATGAAAGACTTGTCTTTTTAAAAAATGGTAAGGATATAGGACCATGAGGCTTTACTTACAACAGTGATTGAAATGTGCTCAAGATGCCCAAGGGTTACATGGGATTCTGTTTATACATGTATTCACGTCATCAGCTTACAAAGCGAAAGGAAAATAAGTAAGTGATGTATAGCATTCCACTGTGTTGTCAAACATAAAAACAGAAAAGAAAACACAATTCACCATAATAGAATGGTATGTTATTCAGGCTTTATCAGGAAAAAAAATATGCACGTTTCGTTCCGAGTAAATGTAGTGACTTATTGTCCAGGCATACCCCAGCGGAAGCAGCAAAGAACGGCGGCGGACAGCGATAGCGCAGGCCCTGTCGGGAGAGGTGAGCGTGGTGCCCCCCTCACGTCTCCTGGCATTGCTTGGCCAGGCGCTAAAGTGGCAGCAACACCAGGGTCTTCTGCCCCCTGGGACAACCCTCGACTTGTTCCGTGGCAGAGCCGCCCACAGAGGAGGCCAGCAAGAGGAGGAGCGTTTCCCCACACAGCTGTCGCGCATGATGCGCTTTGGGCCCAAGGCACACGTCGAGTGTACCCGTTTTTCGCCCGATGGGCAGTTTCTGGTCACCGGCTCTGTGGACGGGTTCATAGAGGTCTGGAACTTCACCACCGGCAAAATCCGCCGGGATCTCAAGTACCAGGCACAGGTAGGAACGCCTGCAGCAGTGACTGCGCTTTCTGCTCGGGACAAGTTGTGGGTTTGGTAGCCAGCTGCATTGCATAATAGTTGACTCTTACCAACCTGTCTCTATAAGTGAGCCCTTGTGGTGGAACTGTGTAAAAGCATATCTGTGAATAGAGGGCAATGGGTTCTTCGGTGCTTTGGATAAGCTGCAAGGGTTTTCCAAAGGCAGGAAGCTTGCAAACTCCTGCTTTGATGCACATTGAAGAAGCTGTGTGCATAGAGTTCATTTGAGATTTTCACATGCACTCTTGATCAAGTATATTAAAGTACATACTTATATGTACACTTTATCTTTGCATTGCAAGTTTTTTTTTTTTCATGATTGTGTGCAGTAGTGTACTAGGTCTGTAAAAGGACTGTTATTTAGGTGGTAGATGTTGCATCTAGTTTTACCACTTGCCCTCAGTGTGTTGCAATACCGAAAGCAACAGTTTCATGCAAGGAAGAAGTTGCAAGATATGGAAAGCAAGTGATGCCAGAAATCTTGCTTTAAGTCCTGTTAGGAGTGCATGCTGATATGTTTTTTATTGTTGTTCTTTATTCTTTTCAGGACAATTTCATGATGATGGATGACGCAGTTATTTGCATCTGCTTCAGCAGGGATTCTGAAATGCTGGCATCTGGTGCACAGGATGGCAAAATAAAGGCAAGTCTGCTAATAGTGTCATGCTTGTGTGCTTACTCGCACCTATAGACTTGTCTTGTGTTGTAATACCATCACATAAACATGTTGCACATACATGCACACTCTGGTTGGGGAGCAAAAATGTGTTAGTTATTAGCAACTGCACTTGAACAATGTTTGTCACCTGCGCGACTTGAATTTGTGAGGCCTAAGCCATATTTAGCAACCACGTCAGTCGCAGTTGAAATAATGCTTTAGAGGGTTTTTTTATGATTATTTCTTTTTCTCCCTCTGTATTTTTATCCACAGAGTGTATTATGCATTGTTATGTCTTTTTTTTTTTTGTATTTTAACTTGGTCGTGACAACATGGAATGGATGGGCTGTAGATTGGGATCATAAAAATTGTGGCGCAGCAGCTAGGAGAATGCAGCAAGAAACATTTCATTTGGTTTACCATGCTTTCTACTTCCTGTTAATACTTGAGGATGTCGGCAGAAGCTGATGCAGAAATTACAAAGAGACTTGGCGCGGTCGACGTCCATGACTCTTGCTTTGAGGGAACTGATGAAATCATTTCAGTTACCTGGTGGCTTTAGTACAGCTGCATGTGTTGTCGTGCAGGTGTGGAAGATCCAGACAGGCCAGTGTCTGCGGCGGTTTGAGCGTGCCCACTCCAAGGGTGTCACGTGCCTCAGTTTCTCTCGGGACAGCAGTCAGCTTCTGAGTGCTTCTTTTGATCAAACCATCAGGTGAGCACAGCACAACATGCTCATTAAAAAGCCTTCACATTGACAATCACAGTGTAGAGCAAGGGTCAGCAACCTTCTGAGGCAAAGGGCCAAGTTGCACGAAGCCGACATGGCGGGGCCCGCACGGTAGCCTGTCGAGAGCGATGGGGGAGAAAGGCTTTGCTGACCAAGAGAAAAATTTTTTGACTTGTTGACAATAATCGTCCGTAATCAATAGGTATTGGTAGCTATCCATAGATAAAATAACAGTTGCCTATAATCAATACAATCATCATGAATAATCATCAATAGAATCATGAACAATCATCAGGGATTCTGACATCACTGTTCAGCCAAATGTAATGCTTCAGGTAGTAACGAGCCTTTTACTCTTAATATGCATGGCATTTGTATTAGCCAAAAAAAAGCAGTTGTCGTTCAAGCAGGAACGATCATGCACAACTAACTTTCACACATGGAGAGCAGGTGCATCTTGCTGCGATAGACGGAGCTTACATTCTTGTTTGTGATGTTTTATGAGTAAATCAGCCGATCAATCTTCAGGTTAGTTTTTGTGTTTGCATGCTCGCAGGATCCACGGCCTAAAGTCTGGGAAGCTGCTGAAGGAGTTTCGTGGCCACACCTCGTTTGTGAACGACGTCATCTTCACGCCCGAGAGCCACCACTTACTCAGTGCTAGCTCCGATGGCACGGTCAAACTGTGGAGTGTCAAGAGCACCGAGTGCCTGAGCACCTTCAAGTCCCTCGGTGCAGCCGGGGGCACGGCTAGCGGCATGGGCAGTGACATCACTGTCAACTCAATCCATGCACTGCCCAAGAACCCCGAACATTTTGTTGTCTGCAA